TTTTGTTGTTTGGCTGGAAGAGAATCAATTTTATTCATCTTTTCAAAGACCCAGCTTTTGCTTTGTTGATTTTTCTCTACTATTTTCCTGTTTTCAGTTTCATTGGTTTCTACTCTAATTTTTATTCTTTCTTTTCTTTTGCTTGTTTTAGGCTTAAATTGCTCCTCTTTCTCTAGTGACCTGAGGTAGAAACCTTAATGATTTGAGATTGTTATTTTTTCTCACATATTCATCTAATGTTATGAATTTCTCCATAAGCACCATTTTTTTTACTGCATCCCACACATTTCAATAAGTTCTATTTTTATTKTATTTGGTTTAAAACATGTTGATATTTTTCTTGAAACTTCCTCTTCAAACTATGGGTTATTTAGAAGTCAAATGTCAGATTTCCAAATATTTGGGGGATTTTTAAAATTTATCTTTTTGCTATTGATTTTTAGTTTGTGTTTTGAAAATATACATTGTTATTTTTTAAGTTTAAAATATATTTTATGGTCTAGAATGTGGTCTATCTTGGCAAATGTTTCCTGTGAGCTTGAGAAGAATGTATAGTCTTTTGTTTCTTTGGTGGATTATTTTATTAACGTCAATTAGATCAGGTTGATTAATTGTGCTGTTCAAGTCATCGATATACTTTTTGATTTTCTGCCTGCTTGATCTATCGATTACTGACGATGGAATGTTGAAATCTCCAATATAATAATGGATTTGTCTATTTCTCCTTTTAATGCTATCAGTTCATGACTTGTACTACGAAAATTTCTTGTTAAATTCATATATGTGCAAGACTGTTATGTCTTCTTGGAGAATTGACTCCTCGATAATTTTCTTTTTTCTCAAGTTTGCTCTGCCTGAAATTAATATAGCTACTCCAGTTTTCTCTAGATTAGTGTTAACATGGTATGTCTATCCCTATCTAGTACTTTTAACCTATCTTAGTCTTATATGGCAAGGGGTTTCTGGTAGACAGCAGACAGTTAGGTCTTGCTTTCAAAAAAAATTGACAATATCTTTTGATTAATGTAGTAGACCACTTATTTTTAAAAGGATCATTGACATAGCTAGATTAATGTGGACGTGTTGGTAACTCTTTTCTATTTGTTGATTTTGTTCTTTGTTTCTTCTTTTTTGCCTTCTCCTTTTTAATTACTGTCATTCATTTCACTTATCCATATGCTGTAATCATCAATGCATGCTTACTATTATAACCTTAAACATGGGTAGTTATCTTTTCGATGTGTTAACGATAAAAACTAATATTTTTATTTTACCTTTTATTTATTCTTTCTCTGATACTCAGTCCTTTCAAATGTAGATTCAAGTTTCTCATCCTTATAATTTTCCTTCTGATTGAACCAATTCTTCTAACATTTCTTGCAGAGTAGGTCTGCTGACAATGAATTCTTGTCACCAAGTTTATCTCAGTTTTTGTTTATTTGAAAAAAACCTTATTTTCCCTTCTTATATGTGAGTAACATCACTGGATTTAGTATTCAAGGTAAGTGGGTTTTTTTCTTTCAACCATCTGCTCCAATCTACTCTCCTTGCTTGCAAGTTTCTTACGAGAAGAAACTAATTCTTATCTCTAATTCCTATCTTTGTTTTTGAAGAGTAAGGTGTTTCTCTCCCTATAGCTTCTTCCAAATTTTTCTCTCTGCCTTTGGTTTTCTATAGCTTGAAAATGATATGTTTAAGAGTGGGGTTTTTTTTGGTGTATTTATCCCCGCTGGTGTCCTCTAAATTTTCTGGATTTGTGGTTTGATGTCTGTCATTATTTTGGAAATTTCTTGACCATTATCACTTCAATAGTTTTTCCGTTCCAATCTCTTTCTTCTCCTTTATTCTTGGAATTATACGTATGTTATGCCTTTTGCAAATGTCTCATGGTTCTTTGACATTTTGTTGTGATTTTTTCTTTTCTCTTTGCAGTTCAATTTAGGAAGTTTCTACTAGCTCAATTCATCTTCAAGCTCACAGAGTCTTCCCTCAACCATGTTAAGACTACTCATGAGCCCACTGAAAGCATCCTTCATTTTCATTACAATGTTTTTAACTGATAGACTTTCCTTTGGACTCATAAAGTTTCCGTCTCTGTGCTTACATGATCTCTCTGTTCTCGCACATGATCTACTTTTCTCCAGTAGAGCCTGTAACATTTTATTTTAAATTCCCCACCCAACAATTTTTAATATTTATGTCATACTGGAGTATGGTTTTTATCATTGCTTTGTTCTTCAGACTTCTTTTTCTTTTTCTTTATTGGCATGCCTCTAATTTTTTGTTAAAATGTAGACATGTTCTATCAAGTAATAGGAAGTAAGATATTTAGGCCCTTAGAGCAATAGCCTATGCTAAATTGGCAAGGAACTGGGTTATGTTTACATTTGTTATAGTTATTAAGTGCCAGAGGCCTCCAAAGTCTTCTTGTGTCATTGTTTTTGTGTCCTTTACTGTTTCTGGTTTCCCTAAGTAACTCTCTTCAGAGAGGCAGTATCTTGCRGATCTTTCATCTACAATCCACGGTTATTACTTTGGAGTCTGAGGATGTGGCAGTGGGGTACAGGGAAGATATATAGCATTCTATAATCTTCCAATTAAATCTCAATCTTTTAGGGGCTCTTTGTCTTGGGGATGTCAGTTTTCCAATAGTATAGCTTCTCTAGTAGTATACCTTTATTCCTTCTGTCCTTTCCCCTTTTCCCTGGCTATAAAATTCCCAATTAATTTCTTTTAGACCCTGATTGCTGTTTGACTATGTCTCTTATCACCTCCAACCCCACAGTTGAGATAGGGATGCTAAAAGGGGATGAAATCAGATAAATTCCTTGCCCCTAGTTGGAAAAGGGCCTGGAGAATTAGGACTTTTTAATGAAAAGGGCTCTGGAATATTTCATAACTATTCTTTCCCATCCCTGACTATGAGGGATTTTTCTCAAAGAGAGAACCTCCTGAGGTTTCTGAAATCCATGGAAGTATACCCCACTTGCCAATGGAACCTCTAGGAGTTTCTTTCTCTCAACATGAGTCTATACTCAGCCTGAAGAAATTCATCTAAAGTTTTACAAGTGTTCCTACTGTTTAGGAACAGAAATCCAGTGGATTCTGCTCCAGGTAAACAGATCTGGGTTGTGTCTCTCTTGATGACCCTGAGTCTACATTTCAGGGTGATGATTTGCCTGCATCTTCAACTCTCTGAAAGGTTCAAGAAAAGTTGTTAATTTCTAGTTTGCTCAACTGTTTCTGTTGTTGTTGATGATGTTGTTTGTTTGTTTGTTTTACTATAAGGATGGGAGTGACAGTTTTCAAGCTCTTTACATGTTGGGGATGAAGCAGGAAGTCTCTCTGATCTATTTTACTTAATTCCTTCTGTCTCTCTTCAGCATGCTTGAGTCCTGGCAGGCTGTCCCATGGCCAGCTAGGGCTTTCTCTGGGTTAGACTCCCATTGCTATAAATTTCCTCTAGTTTTCTGCTAGGCTTCAAACATTGTATAACCAGGGCTCCTTAGCTGGAACTGAGCAGGGACAGTGCTCTCTGAGATTGCGAAGGGAACACTGATGTGCACAACATATGGTAAACCCTACTGGTGTTACAGGAAGGCAGTGCCACRGGAGGCAAATCAGGAAAGCGGGAATCTTGCTGCTATAGTTAAGGATGCTCTTTGGAATCTGAAGAGCTGCACAATCCCTGTTGTCCCACATCATGGCAAAGAGAGACATGGGAATCGCTATAGGTACTATATAACTGGTGATCTACAGACCCTGGCCTCTGAGACATGCACTTAYATCATTATTCTTGTATTTTAAGGACATTATATGACAGTGTTCTGATGGGCTTTCCAAAGGAGGAATACACATGGACTTGGGTTACACACATAACTTAAGAAGCAAACATCTTGTGATCAGCTTCCCTGGCTGCATCTGCATCCTTCTATTAAACTGAATGATAATTTAATTGTCGTTTTGTTTTTCCTTAAGTATAAATAGAGTCATCTCACAAAGACCTAGATTCCTCTTTATCTGACAACATTTGAAATTACAGACCAGGGACTATTTATTTTAATTCTGATTAATAAGGATATATGTGATACTGTTTTCCTCTTAGATACTTATGCTRGAAATAAAGAAGCAACCTATTGATCCATGTGACACTTTTGGCGCCAAAGTGTCTAGAGCAGCCAGAAAAATCTAGATATGTTTGTTCACTGATGATATATATATCACAAGATACCAAGAAGTATAAGAAAAGGATTGGCTCCTTGATGGCCCCTCTGAAGGCAAATCCCTCCAAACTGGGGACAAAGAAAATTATTCCATCTTTCCAAATAATGTCCCCTGCTATACCCTCTATAATGAAATAAGGACTATCTATCATGGTGGCAGCTGGTTGGTAGACTAGGAGGGGTGGTTAGAAATGTGCAATGGGAAAGAGGCTGAAACAATATAACAAGCTGGGAGATTTTCCTCCTTTCATCTGGGTTTGAGATTTTTCACAGACTATTTTTCCACAACGCTGAATGATACCAGGTCCCTATAGTTTTCTGCAATTGTTTGAGTCATCTGGTATCTGCCTTTTCCAGGCCCCATTGACCCCCAACCCTCCAGCAAGGTTGCTGTGGTGCCAAGTCGGGAAGGGAGAATGAACACAAACAAAAGTTTAAGAGAAGCCCCAGAATGGACAGGGAAGTATAGAGGAGGTTGGAGATGCCAGATARGAAGAACCAGGGCAATTCCCAGGGTTGGAAGTAGATGGGAAGTGAGAGAATGGTAGAGATAGTGGGCATTAAAAAAAAGTGCTGAGGGAGAGAAGGAGTAAGGGTGAGAAGTACAAAATGAATCAGGAAAGGAAAAAGGAATGTGACCCTACATAATACACACACACGCACACACACACACACACACACACTCACACACACAGAGCTATAAAGGAGGGCTGAGACATCACAGTCGCTGACTGCACTGTGCAGATAGAGCTATTTGCAATAATTTGGAAATCATACCTTGTTTTGTTTAAGGGCACCTTTCTCTTTCATGTGAGGACAGTCCTTTCCCGTCACCACAGCTTTGATATCTGCCACCGGCACTGCAATTCATAAAAGAAAATGAAAGTAATGACACCATTGAAAGCTTCAGCATCAATAAAGAAGCAGAACTAAGCACTGAGTCTGCTTCCACGTTTGCCGTTCCCAGAAATGACTGCAAAAAAAAAGAGACAAGAAGAGTGGTGAAAAAAAGAGAAGTCAGGCTGTGTCCCAGGACTAGAAACTAAAACACATTCTTATATTCTGGTAAAAATGCATCTGTGGGGAGAAAGAACTATGTCCACAAAGTCTGGTTCACTAAAACAAAGACACACACACAMAMAMAAATACCATTCTAGGAGTGTTAAAGTGATGGCATTAGAAGCAGCAATGGATAACAGTGATTGTACATGCATCAACAGATGAACACTGTCATTACAGAGGGCTTCTGTGTACCAGGAGCAGTGCCAAGTGCTTTTTCCATGTCAGTATCTCTCTCTACAGCATCTGCATTTATGTAGTTTCCAAGTTTGGGATAAAGAAGGAAAGCAGCCTTATTTCAAAAAACTTACCTGACTCTCAACAGTTCTCAACTCTCACTCCTTGATCTCTCCCTATACCATCTCATTATTTCTTGGGATAATTCCAAAAAGTAGGTAATATTATCCTTATTTTATAGACAATGAAATTAAACTGAAATAAAGGAAACCTTAATCTGATATGGAATTCTTAAAATAAAGCAGTTAGATAAAATGATGTTATCTCATGTCTTAGGAGTTGGAGGAAGATAAGAAAAGATATGAAAACATCTCTGCATTTAAAACTTTTGTTAAAAATCAACTAAGAGAAGATAGTAGAAGGCTGGTTTGAAACTTTAAGGTAAAAGTGCAAAGTCATCCCTCCTTCTCCAATCACTAATCCTTCAGTCCCAGGAGGATTGTGAATCTATGGGCACATGCAGACTAGCTTGTCTTTACCAAAGGTGGGAATTTAGGATCTCTGAGTGATCCATTTTTTATGCTGCTTCAAATCAAGAGGAGAATGTGAGATTTCACAGTTAAAGATTGTATAATTTGTTTTTTCAGAAAATTGGTTGTAAAGTTGATAAATATAAAATTACAGAACATAAAGAATGTTGAAACAACTGAACAGGAAGGCTTATGTTTTCTGAATAAACTAAAATCAAATCTGTTGACAGCCCTCAAGCTCTCTCTACCATAAGAGCAGTGGGGTTGTAGAAGCCCTTCCAGGATTCTTTGTAGGCTCCTCACCTCATGGGTTACTCCATCTTGAAGCCCTGATTCTAGACCCTTTTGGTAGACATTATTTGCTCACTTATACCTGCCTTTCTGCTTCTTTTGGCTATATGAAAGACTACATTTCCCAATAGCCTTTGTACATAGGTGGGTCATGTGACTAGCCTTGGCCAATGAAATGTAAGAGGAAGTGCTTCTTTTCTAGATTGAGCCAGTAAAAAGCCCACATTCTATTCTGTTTCCCCAGCTGCAGAAACTGAAGGAGTACAAGTCTCATTCAGAAGGTGCAACTACGGATGGCAAAGCCAACATTGGCTTGTGTTCCTAGGTGCAAGTTAGATAACATGAGAAACAAACTTTTGTTGGGCTTAAGCCACTGAGATTTTTGGATAGTTTGTTTCTACAGCAAAATGTGGCAGTGCAGTCTGTCCTGAGTATTATAATTCTTTACTTCAAGATGCCTTTTCTGTCTCCCTACCTGGACCCCTTTAAATTGGCATCTTGCTGTAGGTTGTCTGTATGGTTCCTGAACTTACCTTTGACTGTAAATTCTGACTTCAGTACTCCTCAAATCCATTTTCATAATAAAATATCTGTCTTATTGCTCTTAGTAGCTGAGCTGGCTGCCTAATCAATATCCTAAAGAGGGCAGATTCAGACACTTTGGGAAGTTGATTAAAATTTCAATGGGCACAGTGAAGTGAATTTTTAATATGACTAGCACACCAATTCAATAAACCTCAAGCTTCATATGAAGTTTGGATTACAAGTACATTGTAGAAAGTCTTTTGTATCATATATTACGTGGCCAGTGAATTATAGAGAGGGTTCACAATCTACAAATAGTAAGTTACCTGTTGGCTTTGAAAACTCATTGTATGGAATGGGACAAGAGGAAGATAGAGGTGAGTTCATCTGTAATGGGAAGAATTCAGGGATGAAGTTACTTTCCCAGTGGGTTTTGTGGAAGTACACTACTTTATCTTTTTAARTATGTATTGTCCCTTGTCAGAGAGAGAAACTGCTGTCTCACTCATAAGATTATGAAACTCACAAAAGAAAACCAAATATAAAGTAGCTTTGCATTTTGCATGGTTTTTCCTCTAGATGCACCAGAAGATTAAGCCTAGGAAGGACTGAAAATGCCATACTTGCTAGTCCTAGGGGCAGAAACAGAGGGGTCAAGAGGGGTCAGCCTTATGCTCTTGAATATATGTTCTAAGGAGGTCATAGGGGGATTTTAATGACTTCAAAGCCAAGCCAGTATTTACATTGGAGCAAAATAAAGAGATGGGGCCCAGAGATAAGAGAACCAGGAGGGCTACTGCTGCAAGAAGCACAGCCCTACTCTTATCCTCTGAGACGGGGCCTCTTTTATTAGAATTATTCAGTTCAAGTTTGATTGAGACCATCTTGATTCAACATTCCCATTTTATATATGGGAAGACAGAGGTTTTGAGAGAAGAAATCAGTTATACAATGTCACATACCTAGTGAAAGACAGAGCTGGGCTTAGTGCTCCATGTTCCAGTGTTATGATGTAATTTATTACTATGTTTTGAAGATACCAGCACCCCAAATCATACTGAGCATAATTGTCACTTCTGACATGTTTAGGAAACTCTTTGCTAGTATCTGTGGAAGAAACTTTAATTTGAAACAAAAATATCACTGAAAAAAGTAAATGTGGCCACCATGATGAACAGAATTTCAGTTTTACTACTGGGAACTAAGCAAGGCAAAGCTGTCTCCAGAGAGCAGCTGATAAGTCTTGAGCACTTGCTTGAGTACATAGCTCCATAGCAGAAGCTCCTGTGGGTGGAGACTCAGAGGAGGGGCAGGATGACTTCAGGAGAGTTGACTGCAGAATCTGGTCTCTCCAACCTGAGTAGGATGGCCAAGCAGTATAGCATGATGGGAAGAGCTGTGCTTTTGGAATCAGGAACCCAGGGTTTGAATTCTAGATCCTTTTACTTTTCTACCACTTTGGGCTTAAGTTCTCAGAGCCTCAACTTACTCATTTGCAAGGTGAAATTATAACATTATCTATCTTAGGGGWTGCTCTAAGAATTAATTCCTAACACTGGATCCAAGATCACATATGATTTTTAATCTAGTCAGTAGAGAGTATGGGGAAATATTTGGGCCATGATGTTGGATGGCTGCATTTAGATCTTTGCTCTACTATTTACTAATCTTGTGATCTTTAACCAAGGTGCAGAAAAATAAGGATGTAAAATGAGGATGGTAATGTCTACTTCTTTAATGTAGGTCGAAGGAAATTTATGTCAAGCTCTCAGCACAGTGCCTAGCATATTATATGCACTTAACAAAGGTCATTTGCAATTATTCTCATTATCAATAATCAAAGTTCACTCTCTCTGTAGATGGAAGGACCTAAGTCCTTTACTGTGCTTCTATGACCCAAATGCACCACTTTGCCTGGCTGTATCAGCACTATACTCACCTACCATGACAGGCTTAATCTCCTTCTGGGAGGGCATCAGCCTGTGCTTTTCTGCCTGTCCCTTTGATGTGGGTGTGAGGAGTGCTGGCCTAGATTCTTTCAAAAGGAGGCTGCGAGGGGCCTGGGGCATGGCTGGGAAGCAATAGAGCCCTATGTCTAGTGGGGACATGACAGCCTATAAATCCCTCCCCACCCCGGGGAGGGGAGGGAAGTAGGATGAGAAGGATATAAGGAAATATGGATTGCAAGGACCGAATTTCCTGGCAAACAAAAAGCATATGAAAAGAGAGATTTCCTAAACCTTTAGGGAAGAAGACAGCCAAGGACAGGCCCTCAATCTTTCCTAGTGCTAGTTGAATTAAGAGGATTCAATTACACTATTGGATTCATCAATATCTCAATATTCAGCCCTGATTAACTCAAAGAGCGGAAGACAATTTTTTTCCCTCAGTCTTAAGAGAGGGCAATTGTACATGGCAAGAGCAAAGGCACTTAACATTAATTAAAGGAATGTCTCATTTTCCTAGTGGAATAAGTTTTTCTGACTTTTAAGGGCTCCAAGAGAGGAGCTATTTTGCTCGAGGCAGAATGCAGAATTGGAAAGAAATGCAAACCAGGACACTGGTGTGTGTTTTCATAAAGCTAATTTATTCATCAGAAGGAACAGTCTTTTATTCTAAGAGTAGATCCTTCTTACCTAGTATTTTGTAACCAAGTGTCCTTTGTTTTGTGAAGAAAACTGTGATTTGTAACTTTTGCTATAATATTTTTAGTTATATTTTATTTTTTAAATAAAATATGCATGCTTGAAGCAGTAAACTTCAGTTTCCCAGGCCAGGGAAACAGGTGGACACAGATACAATCTCACCCTCCCCCMCMCACACACACCCCACATGCACACTCACTCACAACTTCTTATTATCAATCTATATTGCAATGGATGAAGTGTTTGTGGAGTGGGCTTTTTTTCGTGTGCATGGGGGGGTGTGGTACCAGGAATTGAACTCAGGGACACTTGGCCAATGAGCTACCTCCCCAGCCCTATTTTGTATTTTATTTAGAGTCAGGGTCTCACTGAGCTGCTTAGCACCTCGGTGTTGCTGGGGTTGCTTTTGAATGCATGATCCTCCTGCCTCAGTCTCCCCAGCCTCTGGGATTACAGGTGTGCACCACTGTGCCAGGCTAAGGAGTGGGCTTTGAAATTTCATATTACTGGATTTCCAAGGCAGCAGAGGAAAGAGAGGGACAGGGAACAAGCATTTTGAAGGCACTGCCAGGAGGGACTGCTGAAACCTCCCAGATCTAGCATCATTCCATGACCACCACCAAAAGCCGTGAGGAGATTTGCAGCTCAGGCTTTGCTYCTCTGCAACCACTCTGGAAAAGTGGCTGTCCCTGCCATCGACACTCCTGGCTGCCAGATAGCCATTTCCATTCTGGGTTCTTGGAGGCGAGGTCTTAAGTAAAGTGGAGAGGGCATCAGCTTGAGTATGAACCCAGGAGGGGGTGTCAGCTTGTGTGTTGTTCACACGCAAGAACCTTCTTGGGAGCGGGGTTGCCCATGTCCTAAGAAACTGGTCAGCTGGAACGGGTGTGCTGTACCTAGCAGCTAGCAAACCTCCAAATCACATGAGTACTCTAGGATTGAGAAGTGGATTTTATCCCTGTAATTATGAGGATATATAACATGTCCTGTGAGTGGGAGAGTCGATTCACTGGACTACAAGGGAAAGGAGTGAAATAAACTGATTTTCCCGTCCAGATCACTTTTTCTGTGTTTTGAGCAGGTGAAGAATAGGGCTGGGGAGTCCTCCCAGAGAGCTGCTGGTTACTCTGACCTCTAAGAACCTCGGACTCTTCATCAAACCACAATGATGAGCAATGATTCCAAATTACCATCCCTGGATGGTCCCTAGTTCACAGGTTTTCACCAGTGAGTTTTCATCAATTTAAGTGGGGGGGGGGGGAATGAGGGTACTAGTATGTTTTCATAAAGCTAATTTATCCAGCAGAAGGAACTGTCCATTATTCTAAGATTAGGGCCTTTTTGTGTGTGTGTATGATCAAGTATCCTTTCTTTTGTGACAAAAATTGTGATATAAAACTTTAGTTAGATTTTTTTTTCAGTTGTTGTCGAACACAGTACCTTTATGTATTTATTTATTTTTTTGTGGTGGTGAGGATCGAACCCAGCACTTCATACATGCTAGGCAAGCATTCTACCGCTGAGCCACAACCCCAGATTTTAATTTTTAACATTCATTTTTTACAAAATTTAAAGTAAGCAATACACTAGCCATTCACTTAAAAATTGTTACTTATTGGTGAAAGCCAGGTTCAGGGACTCACTATGTGGAGTATCAGGAAATATCTAGCTCAGCAGTTCCCAAACCTGTGTGGACGTCAGAGTCACCTGGAGGGTCTGTTTAAACAGAGTTTGCCAGACCCTACCCYAGAGTTTCTGATTCATCAGGTCTGGGGTGTAGGTCTAATAATCTGTATGGCTAAGAAGTTCCCACACCTAGAGAACCACCCTCCTGGATATTTGAACTATGATCATAGTGTCCTCATCTACAGGCAAAAGCCCAGGACCCCCTGGGTAGGTATGCAAAGGTACAGACCACTTAGACTTTGCAGCAGATTTCAGATTTCTTGCTCCCTGCTTTAGGGTGGCAATGACGTGGGCTAGGAAGGGAATTGTCCTATGGAAGGAAAAGAACTATATTGTCCCATTTTTAAGTTGCCAGAAGACAGAATGTTCCAGGTTATCTGCCCAGAGTCTGAAAGTGTCAGGAAGTCTCTCACTTGTGGTTTATTTTCGTCTTTGATGGCCATGAGCTGTAAGGAAAGTATTCCAAATTTGACTTCCATGGGCCCTGGGGCGACAAGAGGAAGGAGTGAAATAGGGTTGGGGTGAGGCTCAAGACTCTGGGACATGCTTATCTGAACACCACAGGGTTGGTATGACTTCTAGAGGTTATGTAAAATGTCCTAACTGCTTCCTCTTTGCTTTCTCTACCTAAGATATCCTCCAAGGCTGTGCTCCCTTTTTCTCATTTCTCTTCCAAATTAAATCATCACCCTTGTGTATTTTATTGTTTCTGTAATGCCTTGTTTAATTTGCATTTAACACTGAACTTGCACTTGGTTTGTTGTAGGGCTAAAAGAATCCTTCCCATAACTCCCTCTTCAAAAGCACGCATATTAAAACAGACAACATACAAAAAAGCGCAAATAAACATAAGTAATATATATCTTGAGGAATATTTAGCAAATAATAGAATTTCATTCATCATAAGTTTTCAAAGTATTTGAATTACTTCTCTGAAGCAACTCAACCATACTTGGATCTGCCATTGGCTCTACATTACCATTATGGGATACATTAAACCATCATGAATAAATATGGTAGAGATCAAGCATGTAAGTTCTGTGAAAGTCTTCTGGGTCATTAAAAAAAGACAATTGACAAAATTAGGCTTATGTTATTTTGGATCCCTGAAATATCCATCTGGATAAATTATGTGAAAAGCAGATATCTGAGCTCCACATTTATATCTTTCAGGAACAATGTCTGAGCATCCCATTTACACTCTCTGTGTGGATGCACAAGATGAACCAAATTCAAAGGGTTTATTTAGACAGTTTTGTTGCACAACATATTGTGACTAAGAAACAAACAAACAACCAAAACTCAGGTGTCCTACTGAGAGAGCCACTTACATTTGTCCTGCAAGGAATCATGGGGCACTTCTCCCTGAGGGCTTTCTTCCAAGTCTCCATAATGTAGGACCTTGTGATTTGGAGAAAGCCGACAATACCAAAACTTGTCTGTGGAGAAAAACATAAATTAATATGATAAGTGATTCTGGTATTCAAAAATATTAGTATGATTATTTCCTAATACTCTAACCTGGAGGAACAGGTAAAAGTTATAATTCCTTTGATTTAAAATCTTGAGAAAGTATGAATTCTAATGCCCCAGGCAGTAAGCCTCCTTCTGATTTTGATATTTAAGTATCACCTATCCTGCTTGGTCCTATTTGGTAACTATTGGAAAGTTACCAAATCCTGGTGGTTTCCAGAGGGTATTTAACCAGTATCTGTAACCACCCAGGGGACCATTCCTTAGGTCTGATAAAAGTGGGGAGAGAGCTAAATGCAGAGATATGATCTGTAATTCCAGGACTTGTCATGCCAGCTACTTGGGGGCTGAGGAATGAGGATCACAAGTTCAAGGCCAGCCTGGGAAATTTAATAAGACCCGGTCTCAACAATTAAAAAAGGGGGGGGGGCTTGGGGTATAGCTCACTTGCAAAGCATTGTCACTGAGAGACAATGGGTTCAGTTCCTAGTCAATACTACCACTATCACCAGCAGTATCACAGCTACAAATTGGGTGGAAGATGAAGGAGAAATAACATTCTTAAAACTTTTTGACTTCCACTTTCCTCTCTGAGGGGTTCAGACTGCTGAGATAGTTGTCTGYGAGGCCACATCTTGGTTGACATAACAAACCCCCACACATAATGACCAGTGAATGAATTTCTAGGGACTAGTGACACACACAGGCCCTAGGAATCATGAGAGGCTCACTTGAATGATTCAGGAATTTAGCAAAAGAATAAAGACACAATTATCTCCTTCCTAATATCTTAAAGTTTAGTTTTCTGAATGGGCATGACCCAGGCCTTAGGATTATTCTTACAAATAATTTCCTTGATTTTACCCCCTCAACCCCTAAAGGTAATAAGAAATACTGAATAAGCCTGTGAGGCAGGGAGAAGGAAGTAAGAGCCCTTTATATAGATCTACAGATGTATAGATAAGGAAATTGAACTTCAATGTTCCTGAAGCTAGATAGGCTCTGCTCCAGCCACCTCCTCCAGGAAGGTTTCCCTTGATCATTTCAGCAGAAGGGCCTCTCGTCCTCTGAGCTGCTCCAGCATGTTCTTTGTACCATGAACACATATTAGACTGGCATTACCGGTTCTCACATGTCAACCACCTTAGTATCTCCCTGTATCTGCCTCCTCCCTAGGTAAGCAACTTGCCCTAGTGGGTGTACTGTGAACAATGACAGAAAGGAAAAGAGGGCTCCTGGATCCTCATTGGCCCTGACAGTGTGTAGAAGTCAGGGTCTCTCTGCTGACAGCCACTGTCCTCTCATAATTGCAATGTTCCAATCCTTGGGTGCAGTCCCTGGCATATAAACACTTYGTAGTAGGTGTTGGCTAAATTTATCAATGAAGACCCAAGGGCACTGGGTTATAGCACCTCAGGGCACACAGCATCCGTTATCTACAAGCCCTTTGTAGCTTTATGCAGCTGGATAATGCTATGGTTTTGGTCAAGTCATCTCATTACTGTGCTTGCAATCCCAAATTGTTTTGAAACCACTCTGAMAAAAAAGCTCTCCACTACATTTTAAGAAAAGCGGTTTTCTATCTAAAATTGCTTTCACTGCAAAATCATGTTTTAACAGTATTTCCTCTAATAGTCAAACACATTTTAAGAATGGAAGTAAAAGTCACAACGAACAAGGAAAATACCCCAACTTGAGCCACAAAATCTGAGTGCCTCTGTGATTCCTATCTTCCTTTTAGTGTGCCAATGAGGCTTGAGATTTCCTGAATGTAGTCAGAATATGGCAACCCATATTTACAGGAATCTGACCTCTGGTGGAAAAGTTTGAGATGGTGGAGAAGGTCATTTAATGGCTAGRAAAACATCTTCAATTGCTCAATTTTCAACATTATATATACACAAAGCTCAGGGTTGTTATTCTGGGAGAGCACTTCAAAGGGAGAGAAGTTATTCCCTGAGTATCTCACAGCCATTTTAATTAGGCAAATGTGCAATTACTGGTTTTCCATGAGGAGCACACATTTGAGAATTTGATTTGAAATTCACAATAGGAATTGTGAATTCCAAAGRAGGATGCTCTCTTTTCTGAGCATCCAGTGTGCTCTTGGGAACCTGGCATGACAGGTTTTGGTGGCTGTCTCCCCACAAGGACCTTTCATCTGGTCTCCATGCCCCATGATGACCACAATTGGCTGTATAAGGCTTTTCCTCCTCAGCTACCTCTGAGGTAGGATTTTGGGCTAAGTGAGTGACCGAAAACTGGGAAGGAAATCAGTGAGACTTGACACTTGGAGAAGGCAATCTTATATTGAATAAGGTCTTAGCCTGTTCTTTTAGGAATCCTCTCTACAAACTGGGATAACTCAAGGGGTGAGGGTTGGTACTAGAAGACAAGGAGTCAATAGGGCACAACAATCAAAGATCATTTATATCAGAATATTTTGAGGGGAGGAATAAAGAAATTTAACTGATACATACAATGTAATGCAAACATGAGTAAACTGTACAACACACTCATCTGTAAGATATATTCACTTGTGAGACTTTGAAACACTTTGCTGCTTATATTTTCAGGAGAAATTTATTCATCCACTAAATAATTATAGTGTTGCTGCAATGCAGACAGCATTCTACTGGGTGTAGCAAGAAATCATCAGAACAAATGGCAGACATGAGAGAGAAAATAGAAAAGCTCAAGGAAAAGGAGTCCCCTCTGTTTTTCATGTTGGCTAAGAGAAAGATGGCAGAAATGCTTGTTTCCCAGGTCTGGGAAGTAGGGACAAAGACAAATCAGGAATTTGGGATATACTATAGGGAAAATAGGAAAGGGAGGACCTCCCATGCAATATCTTTTTGTGTTCATAAACTATCAGGGAACAATGACTCTTTAATCAGGGTTCTAGCAGGCAAACAACCATCTTCCTTGCAAATCTACCATAGAGGCTTATTTAAAAGAAATACTAAAGTCCAYCTGGAACTCTGCCATAACTATCTGGCATGTCCCTGACAGAATGTCCTTTCAGGAGATTAAAGTCTCTTGATTTATACTATTCCACTCTTCGCTGGTTTTCTTCCTACCTCTGGCTAATCCTGCTCTCATACAAGTTTCTCTTTCTCTGTCATTTACCAAAATGATAGAGTAAAGAGATCTGTGCATCACCAACATCAGTGATGTGTTTAGCTCTTCTTCATCAAATAGGAAGTCTTGGATGGATGACAGAACATGGGAAGAAGGGGGCTGTAAGGCTGACAAGCTTGCCTTGACCAGTAATCCAAACAGGAGTGCTCAGCCAGCACGGTCCTCAGGTTGAAGGCTGGAGTCCAGTTTTGAAGGCTTAGAATCATCATCGCCATGCATTTCTATCTCAAAGGTGGGGCTGCAGGAGAGTCCAACTGCCAGCTACTACCAGCACAGCACACTGACATGTTGGTGGAGACAATTTTGGTGTCAGCTACCAGCAGCAGCTTGATTTGCAGATTCTTTTACGGTAAGAAAAATGTGCCTTTTCCTTTCAAAACCCAGCAGGATGTTACTAGTTCCTCAATCCCTCTGGGCAAAGAAAAGAGTGGATTTCGTCACTAAAAGCAATCAGCAGGAAATGATGAGAACATTATCAAAGATTGTTTACTAGCATTTAAGGAGAAAATAAGCATTAATATGGAGGTCTTCTAGTCAATTACGAATGAGAGTATGTTAATAGCCATCTCTCCATTCCTAAACTCAAAAATATGGAGACAATTTTGTACTTCAATCTTTTCCTCCCCCCATCCCCGTGGTGTGTGTGTGTGTGTGTGTGTGTGTGTGAGAGAGAGAGAGAGAGAGAGAGAGAGAGAGAGAGATTGTGTTTAAAGGATTAAAAGGAAAAGTTGGTTTCATAGCTCATAAACCTGGTAAGAAGGGCTGTTAAAGCTACCCCCAAAGTCACATAGATTATTATGGAGCTAATTACCACCGACAACTAGATTCCTTGCAGTGTTGTCCAACAGAACTTTCTGCAGTGATGGAAATGTTCTATATCTGCTTTATTCCATAGTAAGGAAACAAATTTTAAAATTTCTTTTACTTTAATTAACTTAGCTACAGGTAGCTGGTCATCAGGTCTTCAGGGGAGACTTGGCAAGCTACATAATTGTRTCCATTGGAAAGTGTGACATGCTGGCCTTTCTGTGAGGCAGAAAGCACAGCAAGAATCAAGTCCTAATCAATTCTGGTAGGGAATCAGGGGACATCCTCATTTTGGGCACAGAGCCCACAGTTGGGAGCTGGCTACTGACCCACAAGGCCTCAGAATCCTGCGTTCAGGAAGCAGAGAGTTTATACAAACTACATTCTTAGAGCACTTCCACTAGGATTTCATATTTATCCTAGGTTGACCTAAAATATGCCAAGTTTCCCTGTGTTCAGGAGAAGGACTGCTTCCTGCCTGAGATGGAAACATTCCAAGTCACAAAACAAGAAGGACCCAGCAATGCCTTCAAAGGAAAATGTCACCTTCTAGGTGATGAGATGCACAACTTCTCTATTGGTCCAAGAAAAGGAAAAAAAAAAACAACAGCTAAAGATAGAGAAGAAGGTCAGCATACCTTTCAAATCTTTCTCACTTCACTGAATGTTCAAAACGAGGGAATTCAGAATTCTGTCTCCCTAGAGACATCTGTCTCTTCTCACAGCTGGTGAATCCAGAGGCCCTAACTAAATATTTGCAAAGAGGACTTGAGATGCCTTGAAATCATAATGGCCCCTACACTTATTACCTGGGAGCCTTGGCCAAATTAYAAAAATGTCCTTCTCTTCATTTGTTATGTAATGGTCATAAATGCATGAATAAAACACATGTAAAGTACATACAAAGTCTAACTACATGAGTAAAACTCGTAAAGTATCCATCAAGTGTCTTCCATTGGGTTGGCTGGCTGGCCTCAATAAATCATCAAGTCTTTCTGCTTTTCCATTCAATGGTGGCCTCTCTCATCCACACTACAGGGCCCTCCACATTTAGGGAASAGAGATCATTCATTATTCTGATTTATTGAAAAGTGCCCCTTTCCTGAAAATGAACTAGCTTTTACTTGAAAAATATGCATTTATTTATATCTGCCTTTTTGTTAAAATGAGTTACAGTTATGTTTAATAAAATATTTAAAGGAAATTTCCATCAAATATAGAGGAAGAAATAGCCTGATGCCCCKAGGGTTTATATGGTGCTATGCATGAACATCCTGTTTCCTTCCAGGTTTTCTGACTAGGCCACAGGAGTCAGGTAAGGCTGTGGGCACAAGTGGGGAGGCTTGCCTGTTCTGTAAGGGTGGAATAGGGCAACTTTTGTCCAGTGTTGAATTCCAAGGTCATTTTGTCATGTTAGCACACAGAGAAGTCATGCTGCTCACTGAAATGGACAGCATCCTYGATAAGAAGTAAACTTTCATGTTATCATTTCTTGATGACTCTTTAGCCCTGGAGTCTTATTAACATCATTTCAATGCAAGTGATTCTGGAAGACCTTAATTTCCGAAATATAGAAAGCAGAAGGCAGATCTTGAGACTACAGATTCTCAGGAAGCAAATAATGGCCTTAACACAGACAACTCCTAGTATTTCTTTCTTTCTTTCTTTTCTTTTCTTTTCTTTTTTTTTTTTTTTTTTTTTTTTTTTTTTTTTTTTTTTTTTTTTTTTTTTTGCTCTCCTCTATGGGAGTCCGGGGAACACAGAAGGTAAAGCCTTAGATTCCATGGTGAGGACAGAGCAGGGAGAAGTAGGTATGTGACATCCAAAGCCACTCTACCTCCTGTATTTAAAAGTCTGTATTCTGAATTACCTACAAGTTAAAAGCAAGAATACACATCATTAATGAATGTTTGATGGATGGGCGAATTACCATACTAAGTGGGAAACATGTATAATTTTATTTAACCCCTGAAACTATTTGATGTTAACCAGCAGCATCCCTGCTTGAGAGGAGAGGAAACAGAATCACAGAGATGAGAAGCTAGAGCAAGGCCATTCAGCTCTTGAGTGAGAAGGCAGAGACTTGAACCTAGCTTCATGTGGGTTACTGCCTCCTAGTTCTAATGCGCCTAGTATTCCCAGAAACCCAGATTTGTCTTGTTTGAATAAGACTATCCATRTAGCAGAGCTGTGAATGAGATGAGGAGAATAATGAGCAAGAATCAGTGAGGGTGCCTTCCAAACAAATGTGGCATAGGGAAAGACACTTTGATCCTCCCCTTTCTAGCTCTGTGGGACTGGAAGTGCCTTCCTMCTTTCCTCCATAAATTTAATTACTTAAATCCACTCATCTGTGTCCTCCTCACTGTTGGACAAGCTTAAAGGGAGTATGGCCCTGGCTCCTGCACAGGGAGCACCTGTTCTATAACCTGGTAGAGAGGTGTGAGATCCCTGTGGAAGCAAATCTCTCTTAAAGGAATTAAAGTTGATTTTACGTCACATTCTCATTAATCTGTGTAAATCTAAACAGAATGTTTTGATGGGTGATAGGAAACCAATTTCAGCACAGTCTATTTTGAATCCTTATTTTTAAGCACAGAAGCAGTCATCCATTTTCAAATCCACTTACCAAGCATCAAAATGCCTTCCTTTCTGCACATGGAAGGATGATCTTGTATTAAACACAGATGGTCATGCTCCCTCCAGGGAGCTCAGCTAATAAATTCATCATCTAGATGCTAATTTTTTTTTTGTTCAGAAGGTAGCTCATTTCAAGAAAGTTGAAAAAAATCTCAAGACAAGGGATGAACACTTTATTTAAAGAAAAAAGAATCTGTAGTTATTTCATCTAGAAATAGTATTATTCTGGTAAGTCTCACAGCAAAGCAGAATGGAAAGTTAAATTCAGTTTTAAAAATTAGGATTTTACCTGGGCATCAGAGGAGGCAATTGGTGGTATCGTTCTATTTGCCATCTCACATCCCTAGTCTCCTGTGCTCTTTGCCCAGTGTCAAATAAATAAAAACTTTCTAAGTCACCTTGACGGCCGCCCTGTAATCCTAAATATCGATTTTTCCCGAAGGCAATGAAATCAGGGCACATCATGGACCATGTGACTTACTTGAGTTCTCTGAGCCTCTAGTGCTGTCCTCCAATTTATAGATGGGAATTTGTGGCCCTGAGAGGTGACATCCTGTTTGAAGATGCCGAGGTGGTTAAGAGCCAAGAGGCTTAGAACCAAATCTATTCACTCTCAGCTCACTTCTTTAACCCTACATAAYCTTCCAGAATAATAGTGGCTGTCTTTTGTGTTGTTTTTGAAAAGCTACATTCAGGAGTGCCTTCTTCCTTGCAATAACCTTAGGAGATGGGTATTGTTATCTGAGAGGGAAGCTGCCTGAGATCACATGGCTGGACAGGGGTGCGGGCAAGCTGAATCACCTCGTTCCTATGTTCTTTGGCCACCGTGCCACTCTGTCTTCCTGGAACACCAGTTATTCTGACACGATGCCCAATGAAAAACTGCAGTGAGTAAGGAGGCCATGAACTCCTCCTTCGGTGGATGAATGGGAGAGGTGCGTCCTCTTCCACTGCTTTTCTAATGTGAGCTTCTCTTGTCCCAGCTATAACTCAGTCTTTTGTAATTTTTCCCCTTTTCCTCTCCTGAGGCCCAGTGTAAAGCTCACTGTGAATCTTACAATTTCCTTCCTCCAGGAAGCTCTGCCTTTGGAAGTTCCTCAAAGTGATTTTTAATGGCAGCATTGAAATATTTCAAAGTTTCTTAATACTCAGTATTGAGAAGTTATAGAGAATGCCCGGGGGGTGGGTTTAACAGAGACACAAAATGTTGATGGTCTTYAGTGGTGAGCTTTGTGTCTGAACAGGGCATCCATCAGGTTTCTAAAATATCTGCCAGAGTTTCTCCTGGGCTGTAACTAATGGTCTCCWTAGTACAGCTGTTAATGCCTTCACTTATTCCTGACTCTTCCTCCATCTCTTTATCTCTCCCCAAACCTTACTTTACAGTTTCACTTTCCGGCCATTTGATTCTAGGGCTATATGATAGGGACATTTTGACTATACAATAAGCAGCAGATCAAGAGAGCAAGAAACTGTTCAAGGTGAATAAWCAGCTGGAATATCCCAGATATTGGATCTTGTCTACTGGCACCATTTTGACTGGACATTTTCAGGTCAGAGATTGTAAAGACAATTTATAAATCTGTCTTGAAAAAATCATGAAAATAGATTGTACCTCACCCAATTCATTGTTACTCATATCCCCAAATAAAATACCTCTGACCTGGGAGAGAATCATTGTTGGATATTTGAGAATAAAGTTCATCTATGMGGAAAGCTCTCAGATCTAATCCAATGATGGGTGGTGTGCCAATAGCACAAAGAGGCAGGGTAAGGAAGGACCACAGAGCTATGGAAGATGAACCCTGCTCTTCTGTGACTTTGGGTAAGTTACTTCACCCCTCAGTGGTAAGTTTTCTTATCTTTAAATGAAGTCATCATCACAATAGCTACTATATAGGGTAATTGTGCATTAATACAGTCATGCTTTGCTTGATAATGGGATATATTCTGAGAAATGTGTTGTTAGGTGGTTTCATCATTGTGTGAATATCATAAAGTATGCTTACACACAAACTAAGATGGCTACAATGTTGCTAGCTGATAAAACCTATTGGACCACCACTATGTATAAGGGTCATTGTTAGCTGAAGTCTTATGAGGCACATGGCTGAAAAACTAACATTTTGAGAAAAGTCTTGCATATGGTAAGCACACAGTACACATTAGTTATCATTGACACCAACAACTTTGTATCATTAAATGTCAAAGAATGGCTATTCAGTTCCAAGAGCCTTTTGATAATTCTGGACTTGGTTCTCCCCAGGTAGGCATGGAAACAAGGTCTTCCCTGGACTGCTATTCCTGTCCTGAGAACAGTGCTGCTAGACCAACATCATGCCCTTGTAATACCCCAGGCGCAGGCCACTGTTGACCTAGCTCAAGTGTGGAGTGTCCCCAAACAATACCTTGCCTCCGCCGGGCATTGAGTTTCCTAAAGCAGGTCCCTTCCACCAGACGGTTCAGGCGTTGTTGTTTGATCAGCTCTAAGATTTCTGGCTGGATCTTCTCCTTTAGTTCCCTGTTGGAGGATAAACACATATTCCACCATGCACCTTGAAAAACAGGGATGGGTCAATAGGGATCACAGAAAGATGGGCAGGGGAGTGTGAGCCTCACCCTTTCATGAACCCATCCTAGGACCTGCCAAATTCGTGCTTTAGAGAATCATTTATTACGCATCAGTGGCCAGGGTTATCTGTCACTGTAACTCTACGGAGTCTCTGACATTTGCAGTCTATCCACAAAAGCACCAGTGGCTTTAGTGGTGTTTTTCCAGAACAAAGTATCCTGTGAAATGTCTTATTGTACAAAGGCACAGATATAACTAATGCAAAAGTCCAGACAGTAAAATCCCTGGCCATACTTTTTTTTTCCCCTTGCAGCAAGTAAACACCTAGATTAYATTTGTGATCTGACCAAACAGGATTATTGAGAAATTATGTGATTGCTATTCCACAGCAAATGTAGCTTGGGCAAAACATCAGATCACTTTTTGCTTTCTATTCCATCTCATAAGTGGGAACCACAATAGTGTCCTAGATTCTAGTCCATAGAGATTGAGATAATTATGGGATAAATTGAACATTATTTGCATCTTGTTTCAGGCTAATAGGATGTAATTTAGTTTCAGATGCACTATGCTACAAAGATAGTATGATAGACTGCTGTGGTCTTCCTAGTTTTAAAAAATATTTTTTTCATTTTTTTGTTGGTTCATATTAGTTATACATAGCATTAGGATTCATTTTGACATAATTATATATGCATGGAATATAATTGGCTTCAATTCAGACCCCAATACTAGCCCTTCTCCTCCCCCCTCCCTCTACTAATCCCTTTCCTGAACTCCACTGATCTAAAAGATATCTTTATAGAAATTCTATGTAGCACCCTGGTATTCCAGTCTAATAAAGCCAAAGATGATCTAGCTGAAGCTGGACTGGGAGATTCAGAGCCCAGCCCCCAGAGCCATGTTGAAAGTATTGGCTAGAGCACAGATTCAAAAGCCAGAAGACTAGACTTATAGTCTAGGCTGTGCACATGATTGGGTTTTTGTGTAGCTCATCTAAGTCTTAGTTTTCTTATCTGTAAAATGGGGATAAGAATCTCTCCTGGAATCAGACATAACATTCCTATATTCATATATGAATATATGACCAGTGAAACTTCACATCATATATGACTGCAAGAATGGGATCCTAATTAGAATACCCATGTATGTGTCATATGTCAAAATACACTCTACTGTCATGTGTATCTACAAAGAACCAATTAAAAATAAAAAAACTTTAAATTTTTAAAAATAAAAGCAGATAAGGAAGAAAAAAGTTTGATCATCATGTTTACTAACATTCTCAGCTATTTTAAGTTTTTTGTCTTCAAATATTTATTTCATATGCTTACACTTAAATTTTGAATTTTGTTATCAATATTTTACTTGCAACATATTTGTAGTACGTCTACAAAACTGGGTGGGAAAGCAAGGCATCACTGAATTTGCTTTGGTTACCATCTCTCCTTTCCTCAGCCCAAACACTCCAAATGCCTATATTCCACTGTAGTCGAGACCCACATACTCATCAGTTTCGGCTTTGACTTTGCACTTGCCCTGACACTGGATAGCACACAACCTGTTCACCTGATGCCCTGCCCAGGTGGGGAAGGTGCTGATGCTCTGCAAGCACCTGCTCTGAGTCTAACATGTCGTGCAATTAACTGACACACCCTAAATAAAACAACTTTTGAGGAYAGGTATTAATATCATCATTCCCATATAACCAATGGGGAAACAGGTCATGGAGTTTAAGTGTAGGATAGGGTACAGACTCAGGTCTGCCTCTTGCAAGCTTCTTCTATTTAAACATGAGCAAAAAGAAAAAAGATGTACATAAAAGGATTCAGCCATCTAACAGGGTATTCTAGTACTGCACTGATACATATTTGGGAGCTGATTAAATGGCTTTAAACCTCTTATCATTTGATAATGTTCAAAGTGAATACTTATAAAGCATAATATGAAAATTCTGCCTTAGTAATAATACAGCGTGGAACATTTGTAAAGGCTTCTCTGCACAGGTCTCTTAGGGTCTCATCTCGGGCTTTCAGATCACTATAAAATTATTTATCATCAGCGTTCAGCTTTTATAAAATGGACTCAGTAAATTGAAGCTTTGATGAACCCTGAACTGAATAAAGAAGAAGGTGAGGAATTGCTTGAACAGTCACACACAGCAATAAATCACCGCTACCGACTTCTAAGTCCAGGMGACTGGGGAGAGAGGATGAGATGGGACCTGTGGATGAAACCACAGGAGAATGAGTTTTCAAATTTCAGCAACTCTTAGGTTATAGATGTGTCTTTAAGTAGTAGTTTCACTGAGCTATAGTTGAGTTATTAAAAAGGGAAGAAAGGTGCAGAGACTAAGGGAGGGAATTCTGAGTAATTTTAACTGATGGTTAAGACTCAAATGTTCTTGTCATAGCATGCTTCAGAACCATCTTCGGGGAACACACTATCAGAAGTGAAAATGTTGCTATAAGAGTTTCCAGGAGGGGAGGGAAGGAAACGGAAGAGGCAAGGGATTAGCAAGGATGGTGGAATGTGATGGACATCATTATCCAAAGTACATGTGTGAACACACAAATTGGGTATCAACCTACTTTATATACAGAGATATGAAAAATTGTGCTTTATATGTGTAATAAAAATTGTAATGCATTCCTCTGTCTTGTATTTAAAAAAATAAAATCAATTTTAAAAAAAGAGTTACCAAGTATTTTTAATTTTTGTCTTTAATTCCAAAGTCTCCAAAACCTGATTGGGTAATGAGGGAAAATGAGCCAATGTTTCTTTCTAACTGATTTCTTCTTCTTTTCTTATGAATGGACTTGGAGCTATAAGATTCACACATATTAAGAAACTTTATTAATTCCCACAATATGCTTCTGTGGCTGAGATCTGACCTTCTGGGTGACTTAGGTAATAATAATGTAACTGRGTTTTGAAATTGTTAGCTTGGGGTCAGTGAGGGTAGGGTCGTGGGTTCAGTGACTTTGCTTTGATAGATATTCCTTTAATTCCATCCAAAGGATTTGCAAATTAGGAAGAAAAAAGGAGGAGGGAGGGTAAAAGAATGTGTGAAGAGGAATTCAAACTAGCACCATTTCTGGAAAACATGCCCAGCCCCGAAGAGGCCATTACAATACAAAGAAGACAGACAGCATCATTAGACAGGTGAATTCCTTCCTCAACCTGGAGTCTGTCCACTGAGCTACTACCCACTGTTCATCTAAAACATGGGTTGGTAAACTTTTTCTGCAAAAGGTCAGACTGTAAATTCTTTAGGCTTTGTGGGCCATATGGTTAACTTACAAAAATAGATGTGGGCACATTTGGCCAAAGAGACATAGTTAGTGGGTCCCTGATCTAGAACCACTTTGCATAGACTCTGGGCTGATTGACAGTGTCAGTTTCAGAGAAATTGATCTGTTTTTGTCTTGATACTAGAAGGACTCAAGATTTAGTCTTTGAACATCTTTTGTTCTTTCTATAACCGACACATGGCTTCAAATACCAACTTTACACTGACAGCTTCCAAATTTATATTTCTAACCTAGAACTCTCTGATGAACTTCAAACTCACTTGTCTGACTGCCTGCTTGGATGTCTCACAGCTTTGACATGTGCAGAGCTGAACTCCTGATCCCCTTGTCCAAATCTGCTCCACCCACTCTGCCCACTGGCTGTCCTTTAGTTGTTTAAATTCAAACTTTGAGCTCATCCTCGACTCTTCTCTTTCTTATAACTACATCTAATCCATCAGAAAATAACATTGTCTCTTCAAAATATATCAAGTTCATAGTAAAGATTCTAATCACTTCTCATCACCTCTTGCTTGGATTATTGAATGTGCTTCCTAAGATCTTCTGATTTCCAAACTTTGCTTCCTTACTTCCTGTTCCCAGTATAGCACTCATGTCAGTCCTCCACTCAAAACCCTCCAATGGCTTCCAACAAGACCCTATGTAATCAGACTCATGAGTACCTTAGAGGTCTTGCCTCCTATTTCTCTCCCCCTTGCTTATTCTGATCCAGCCACATTGGCTTCCTTGCTATTCACTGAACACTCTGATCTGATCTGTTCTCAGGGCCTTTCCAGTGGTTCTCTTTGTCAAGGATACCCTTCTTTCAAATACTCACATGGCATGCTCCCTGAATCTCTTACCATTCTAATCAGACAGATCTACTCTTAAAATCTTTGCAAAACTAGATTCTCTATTCCCCTTATCCTGCTTCATCACTCAATGAATGAATTCCTTCTTAACATGATACATCTAATTTACCACATGTTTTTCTGTTTCTCCACAATGAAATATAATCTTCATGGGGGCAAGAGTTGTGCCTGAATCATCAACACATGGAAGAGTGGCTGACATGTAATAGGCCCTAAACACTGAACATTGTATACCTGACCAGACCATCAGGTCTGTGTTAGCTATGGGTGAGCTTTGAGTGACATACACGGCCAGTCTTTAGGGAGGTTGCAGATGGGTGGAATAGGTGTATTTCTGGCCTGATCGTTTTCACTTTTCCTGTCTAGTAGAGCACTGAAATAGACAAAACATACCCTGTCTCCTGCCTGCTGGTTCCAGAGTCTGGGAGAATGATCCCTGAACTTCCCGTTGAAGTGCTTCACCTTCTATCACCTCTTTATGATTTTACCACAGCTGTATATACCCAGAGCTCCAGTGGGGCTGTGGTGCTTTTCAGTCTCACACCCACCAATGATGCAAAAGCCTTGTCTGCAGGATTTCCTCTATTTGTATTGCTTCCCCTTACAGAGCCAACGTAATGGTGAGAGTTTCTTGTAACAAAAGAAAAGAAACTTCCCAGTGTGACAGGTAGAACCCTGGGAACTGAAAATATGAAGGCAAAGCAGGAGCCAAGTCTTCACCCTGGACACGCAGCTGACATTCTTCCTTGAAACAAAGCCATGGTCAAACATCAATTTAGAATCACTTGGCTTTAACTGAAGTAATATTAATTTAGAATCACTTGGCTTTCACTTAAGGGATTCCTCAAGTATCCCTTTAGGTTTTAAGAATTGTTGTCAAAAGCATAATAAAGTGTCCTTGTGTAGCACATCTGCTGAAACTGATGCTATGAAATGCAGCATTTCAGGAATGTGGGACCTAGACAGGCCAAGGCACCATTGTCCCTCTTTGCAGGTGAGAACTCACATCTGCAAGGAGCCAGTCATTTATTCCAAGTGATTTCCCCTTCATGTTTCTAACTGTTGCCATCTTCTGGCTGAGGGCCAAGGCAACACCCCGGCAGCCTAACCTCCACTAAGGCTGGCTGGTGCACAGTGTGGGTGTGACGGGGTTTACAAGGATGCTAGCCAAAGCTCTCTGGAAGTATTTCCTGCTCTCTGCTGACTAACGGCATGCCCTCTAAAGTCAGTAGTTCTCTACAGTTTTTAGTGGTGCTTAAGATTTGGAAACAAACATATACCCAGTATTATTACTGTTTGGCTGTTGTCATTTAAGACCTGTTCACTTTCTTAGCCTCATTTCARTCTCACACATGGCAAAGAGGCTCTGGTGGGGTGAACAAAGCAGTCATGGAGGGATCAGCAGCCTTGAGTTCAAGTCCAGGATCTCCACTTGTCAGCAAGACTATATCTGAGACTTTGAATGGGAACAAGACCTGCCCATCTCATAGGGATGCAAGGAAATGAAATAGCATGAAGGATGCTTTGCAAATTGCCATGCATTAAACATGCCAAATATAAGAGAGGAAGAAATGAGGTGCAGAAAGAGAAAGGATTAGGAACAGAGAGGTGAGGCTGAGCTGAAGATGGGCTCCAGAATCACACCTGTGGTATGATTTGGCATACACGTACACACACACACACACACACACACACACACACACGTATACATATTCAGAAGAAGCGGGGCCATTTTTCTGAGGACAGATGAGAATTAATGTCAAACACCTTTCCTCTTCCCTACCCATTCTCTGTTTTCTTTTCAATAAAATGTAAGGGTAAAAAAACTGAGTTCTTAGAAAAAGACATGGCAAGAGATGAGGCAAGCAAAACAGTTCTCTTATTGGAGGTTCAGAACATTTTAAAGACAAACATACATGAAAATTTGTGCATGCTATCTATGACATTTTATGCAAAGTCCTGTAAAAAGGGGGTTTGCTGCCTTCTACTGTGAGCCTGCAGGTTATAACCACAGGGTAATTAATATGAGATGCTCCAATGCCAACCACTGCCAAGTGGGCAGGGGGAGGGTGGCTCTCTCTCTCTGTCTCTCACTTTCTCTCACCACTCACACATGCACTACTTTGGGGTTCACTGCTTTAATTATTGGTGGGTTTCACTCTGGGTAGATTGGGACATCTTGCCACTCAAAGGGCACCTATGTAAAATACAGTTTCATAGACAAATAAATTTGCTCCAACTGTTAGAAAAAGTCCAGAACATTTTAGCTATAAATCCCTGGAGGATTGCCAGTAACTGAGCCAGCTCCTGGTTTAGATCCATTCTGCCAGTACCTGACCCTACTACCCCCTCTGCTCAGCCCACCTGCTCAGCCCTTCCTCAGGGAGCTGCCAACACTGCTTTACGTAATTGGAAATCATTTGGAAGGTCTTCTGTTGACCTTCCCTAGTGAGGTCATGACAGCTCATTTGGGTGATTGGCACTCACTACAGAAATGGTATGTTAGAGCCTTCAGGGAGATGGAAGTCAGAAGTGGGTAACTTACAAAATCGGGCGGGATTGGAAATCTTCCTGGTTCATCCTCTCAGACTGTCGGATTTTCAGGATCTCGGTGTAGCTCAGGTTCTGTAGTTTGCTCTTGAACTGGTCCAGGGAGCTAGGCTTGGTTGTAAGTGCTCTCATAACCTGCTCCTTCACCACCTGCATTACCTGCAGATGAAAGAAGAAAGACCATCAGTATCCTGGGGGCTGTCATATCCTGTTCAAAAAAGTCTTCAGGAGTTAATAGCTCACTGCCTCCTCCCCGGTTGCTGCTGCATATACTCTCAGCCCCAGGCTTGAGTGTACTTTTCCAAAGAGTAAACTTCCATTATGTGCATCTTCATCTTATCTTTTTTTTTTTTTTTTAAATCACAAGGAAGGAAATGGACTGATTAACTTGAAATGGAGGGGAGTGAAGCTTGGGAAAGGAGGAGAGTTCCATTTGTTCCATACATTATGTGATTGCTGCTGAAACACCACTGTAAACAATACAAACTCAAGAGTCAGAAATAAGCAAAGGCCAAACAATAGCTAGCCAGCCTGCCTGCTAACTATTTTTTTCCAGGAAAAATTGCTAAGACACAATTAACTGTGGAAGTTTGGTTGGCATCAGTTCCAATGAATGCATACAGATACCCACACTTCCCAGTCTTTTTTCCCCATATTGTTAGGGCCTGAGTATTCATGAAAACTATACACTTGGTTATAAGCATGTGGTTTAAACAAAGAGGTTTATTAAATTAGAATAGGTAGATCCCATTGGAAACCTCAAGAAAGAAAGAAAGAAAGAAAGAAAGAAAGAAAGAAAGAAAGAAAGAAAGAAAGAAGAGGTAATTTGCTGCCTCAAGACAGGTCTAGCTCACCAGAAGGCAATTAACCACTGCCTTTGTGAATGTAGATTCATCCACAGGATTTGTAATATTGCATAGATCTTTTCATTTTTCATTACATATGAAAGCAAGTATTATCCTTTATAAGGTGTCTACTATGTGCCTATGTGCTGGATGTTATGGTATATTTTATACACACACACACACACACACACACACACACACACACTCTTTGTCCACTCAAATCTATAAGGTGGGTATCAACATCTTCTTAACATATGAAGAAACAGCTTTGCAGCATTAAAAAATTATTTAAAAATCACATGGCTAGGTGATAGTGGCTGAGTTGGGATTTGATCCTAGGCTTTTAAACGTTTTACTACATTGCCACTCATTCCACCATTCTTGATGTCTGGAGACTGTCATATCCTGTTTCTTTTGGAAATTTAAAAATAAGACAAAACCAAACATAGACCACTTATCCAATGAGTTCTGTGCCAAGCACTTTGCTATTCATCATCTCATTTAATTTTCTCTCTAATACACTGGACTAGGTGTGTGATCATTATTTTAAAGGTAAAAGGACTGAGAAAAGATTGACAACTTGCCCAATATCACAGATCACTGAATCCTAAGAGAGCAAGTCGCCCAGATGGATACTCCACAGACCGGATGCTGAACAAACATGAATGAAGTATGGTCTTGCCTTCTGTGAACTGAGGGTCTAATGAGAAATGTGGGCATGGCCAAAGATCATCACAGGGGAGTGTGGAAAAGACAGAGAATGATGGATTTTGTTGGCAGGGACACAAGGAGGGGGATTTCATTGAAGATGACATTTGATATAGGGTTTAAAGGAAGAACGGCTAYTCAGTAGTGTGGAAATAGATGAATTCCCTGGAATGTCACCACACATTAGCCATTTTGGACTGGGCTACATCTAAATTGGAACCAGTTATATAAGCATCATTTCATGCTCTCAGCAGAATGGCATAAAGGAAAATTCCCAGTTGATTTTCCCCAATCTGCTTCTTTTTTTACTCAAGCAAAAAGCTAAATTTGGGATGCATGACAAATTTTGAAATAGTGACCATCTTACACCATGCTGCATAAATGGTGTTGATTTTAGTCAACTATAACACTTTGCCATCTTTTGTGAGGGACACCCCTTTCTCCATTGAGAGAAGCCTTGGAGTTAAGGCAAAGAGGTCATTATTGCCTCCCAGTGTTTTTTGACCTTCTAGTGAGAAGGAGGACATGTAAAAGAGACAAAGAGAATGAAAGGAAAAAGGATTTTTGAATATCAGGTTAATGTTGACCCTCTCCTCATCTTGTAGAGAAAGAAACAATTTCAGAGGGCCAAGTGATGCYCTCACTTCTTAAAGGGTTGTCACAGAGATGACAATTTCCATGCCACATCTGCCTAGACTCCAGCAAMAGGGCTAATAACTGAGCCTATGACCTGAACTGACTAACCCATGTCCTGGCCCAGACTTCTCTGATCTGATCCAAGATGGGGCAGTTTCCCCCTCAAATTGGKAACTATAAAACTATGTCCCTTAATATTGGGGAGAGTGGAAGATAAGGAGACCAATGCCAATAAAAGACAGAATCATGATCCTGAGAGAGTGTTCATAGGTTAAACTTTAACCATCAGGTAATTTCAACCCTTACCTTTGGTGCTTTGGTTAAATGAATCTTTTCTTTTTCCTAAGATGGTTTGAATGGGATTCCTGTCACTTGAAACCAGAGTAACATATATATGCAATGAAGTCTAAGAGGAGTATCAACTTGTGGGGCTGAGGTTACCCAGACAGAGGGAGAAACAGGGAAGCTGGATAAGAAACAACAAAGGTACCTCGTGAAGAAAACACCTTTTAAAAAAATTACCTTTCATTTTATGTGTGCCTGGTTGTGCCTTTGCATGGMAATGATGATGTATTATGGAATGTGGGGAACACAACTACTACCTCATGCTTAAAATCCATTCTTAGAGCTTCATTACTCTAGCTTAAGACTTTGATCCCTGCTAGATGCATGAATGCATAGTAGAGAAATCCTTTAAATTCCCCCAAATGACTCACACTTCAATTTGAGCAAAGTATAGAATCTTTCCTAAAAATAGGTTGGGTGATTGGGAGAAGGGACCACACCACCATCAGGTCCTAAGGGAATGGAGGCTAGTGGTGTGTCTAAAGCACAAAATAGTCTGGTGGAGCTCAAGGATAGGTCTCCCTCGGTTACTGCCCAGTTTTGCTTGGTGTTGGCTTTGAGAAGTTCTATTGTTATTCTGTATGCCAAGGAAAGCAACCTCAGTGAAAGATGCCATTGTTTATTTATTTTTAAAGCTTTTTAGTTGTTGATGGACCTTTATTTTATTTCTTTATTTATATGTAGTGCTGAGAATTGAACCCAGTGCCTCTGCTAGGCAAGCACTCTACCACTGAGCTACAACCCTAGCCCTCTGTTATTGTTTATTTTAAGAAGATAACATAGTTATGTAAGTCAAATACTCCTCTGTGCCTTTGCAAAGTAGCTTCTACAACTGTCGTAATGAATTTTGCTAAGTATCTGTGAATGCTCCATGTATACAATTTAAATGAAGACTTTCACAACCACCATTGTTAACTTTGTCCTCCAGGAAAATAGCAGACCTTTTACTATTTGTTTGAAAAACCTGCAGAAGGTGTTGCAGAGGCGTCAGCAAATCAACAGAGTTATACTTTCTAGTTACAGCACATGCTTTTTGCCATAGACATCAAAGAAAAGAATGCTCTTAGAATCTCCATTTGCTGGTGGTATTGACGCCTTCTTCAAGCAATGTCTGCAACTCGCCAGTGGTATGCTTCTGGAATTTTCTGAGTATTTGTCTGTTCTCTGTAATAATGTCATATTTTACAAAAATGTAGGATTCCCACAAGATGATTGTACTTCAAACCGAGAAACATTCTGGCTGCTTGGAAGACTAGATTAGAGAATGGAATCAAAATTGTTGCTGGCAAAGTAGTTTAACTGTGCACCTGGTTTCATTGTTGTTTATTTAAACGTGTTCTTGCATCTTATTCCAAGATCTACTGAGCCTCTGTGTGTTCCTGGTTTAATCACTTCTCCGATCCTGCTTTAATACCCACAATCCTCAACAGCATCATTCACCCATTCATTCAACGAATGGGCTTCAAGCACCTACTTGGGGAAGGGCAATGGATGACACTGGGAGCCTTGTATGAAATGAGCTCTGGGTAGGTGGCTCAGACACACACAGGATGTCACAGTGGATTAAGAGGCTGTACATTCATTCTATAAATACAGAGCCCCTCTCAGGTTCCAGCAGGATGAGGATATATCTTGGGAACTTTGGCTGCAGCTTGAGGAGAGGCCACAGGTAGACACACCAAGGTGCAGGGGAGAGGCCATTCTTGGGAGAAATAATGTGATCAAAGACTTGGAGGGAGGAGACGCAGCTCTGAGTGGGGAAGAGTATATGCTGTTCTCCTTTGGGTAGAGAAATGAGGCCGGGCTCCAAGGTGTAGTTGAAAGGCAAGCTGGGCCACATGGTGGRTGGCTTTGAGAGCTAAGGTGAAAAATTTGGAATTTTTGTTTTCTGTAACTAATGATAAGTACCTAGAGGATTTGGGGAGGTGTGCAATGGAATTCATTCAAGCTTGCTAGGACACCTATGAAATAGTCATTATTTGTGCTCGAGTTGGGGTAAGGAAGGGATGTTAGGGAAGAAGTCTTCATGGCTGAGACTAAATTTGTGCTGAGACTTGGAGGATGAATGGAAGTTATTCACTGAAGAGAGGAAGGAAATTCTAGGCAGAGAGAGGTGTAATAGCAAAGACAGGGAGGTGAGGCGGTTATGCCTCAGACATTAAAAAAATTATACTTTTTGGAGTCTACACCAGCAACTTTCCACAAATGGGGGTTATGGTTGCACTAGGACATTTCAGCCTCTAGAATCTGCCACCCTGGCTTTGAATAAGGCTGTGTATTTCTTGAAGTTGTACCCTTCTTCAAGATACTCAAACTCTCCACGATTCATTGTTACCATCTGGAAGCTAGGAATACTAATAATGTAGAATTCAAGGGACTGTGATTAGATAATGCCTGACACTTTAGCAAAGGCCATTTCCCCTTCCTCACTGTATTTTGCTCACTGTAAAGTCATCATAGTAGTACAGAATTAATAGAATCATATAACAAAGAATTATTATGAAATATAAATAATATATGTATGCAAAGTACCTCATACATCCAATGGAGAATACTACATGCCCAATAAATATCCATTATCTTTCCCTCCCAGGAGGAAATTACTTAAGTCAGAGGTTTCTCCTA